TCTGCATGGCAAGAACCCACTGGGGCTCCCGCATAGCTTCCGAAATAGAGCGAGGAACCAGCGTATCTGATAAGGCCATAGTATAAGCTCGAAATGTGGGAGACAGATTACCATAAGAAACATAAGCAGAGATCGGATATAAAATCTTGGCGGTCCAACCATATCGATCAACTGGATGGTGATCACGCCTTGGATAACGACGCCCTAAATCACCATCCTCTATTGATAATATCTTATCAGGTAAAGTAACTGACTCAGCACCTGTAATCTCATCAGTACTAACAACAAGTGCATCAATATGCTCAACANGTCTCATCAGGGAAAATAACTAACTCAGTACCTGTAATCTCATCAGTACTAACAACAGGTGCATCAATATGCTCAACGAACTGAGAAGTATTACCTGTATCGCCTGAGGTAGAGGGGACATCAACAAGGGGATGAAATCGAGGGCGACGAACATAAACCTGTAAAGGAAGAGAGACTGGTGACTCTGTAATAATAAGGACGAGTGGCTATGGAGGAAGAGAGACGGATGATTCTGTAATGATAGTGACCAATGGCTGTGGCTCTCGTGGTAATGGAAAATCAAAGATAGTATCATCAACTGGAGGGGCAGACACTGGACTGGAAGAAAAAAAAGGAATATGCTCAAGAAAGGTAACATCTAGACTGTGATACATACGACGTCTAATAGAATCATAACACCGATACCCCTTAGACTGATGACAATAGCCCACAAAGATACAACAAATCACTTTATCATCAAGCTTATGACAAGTAGGACACCGATTCTGAACAAAACATGTGCATCTGAAAACACGAGGAGGGACTGGAAAAAGTGTCCGCTCAGGAAATAAAACCTGTAAGGGAGCCCTATGCTGAAGAACACAACTTGGTGTACGATTATACAAAAAGAAGTCAAAATAGTAAAATGCCAATAAGATTTTAGTACCCCCATGCCTCTAAGCATACAACGTACCATCCCTATCAGGCTTTTATTTTTCCTTTTAACAATGCCATTTTACTCAGGAGTATATGGACACATGAGTTGCTGAAGAATACCTTGAGAAGAAAGGTGAGGCACTAAAGCAACACATATTCTTTGGCATTATCCAAACGAAGAGTACAAATAATGACATCGAATTGTGTCTTAATCATTTGTAGAAACTGAGTAAGTATAAAGAATACATCGAACTTCCTATGCAAAAGGTAGACCCAAGTACAATGGGTATGGTCATCTATAAATGTCACATAGTATTGAGCACCTAACAGAGCAATAACAGGAGAGAGTCCCCAAATATCAGAGTGTATTAGGTCAAATGGCTTAGGTAACTGGTGCATGCGAGGAATATAATTGGTCCTAACATATTTTAATAGGGAACATATAATCCAGTCAAGTTTGCCACCAACACAAGCATTGCTCAAAACAGAAAACAACATACATAAATATTTAAAATTTGTATGTCCAAAACGGTCATGCCACAACTGAACAGTTTGTGATGAAAAATCATAACGATAATTACTAGGTAAAATACTAGCAAGCAAGCTAGGAACAGATAAAGACAACAAATATATGGCCGTGAACAGGCTCCTAGGACATGATTTGCTAAATTTTCTTCAGTCATTTGTGACTTGGGTTTTCGCGCCAGTGACCATGATGCTCTCTTTTTACGGTCTACTTCCTCAGATTCTATTATTCTCTTACTATATGTTGATGATATGATTATTACGGGTGATGACACTGCTGCATATGCTTATTGAAAACCCAGTTACAGGACCATTTTGAGATGAAAGATTTGAGGCAGCTTAGATATTTCTTGGGTATTGAGATTGCATCATCTCCTAAAGGATATCTTCTCTCTCAGTCCAAGTATACTTCAGATGTTATTCAACGAGCTCGTTTATCAGATAATCGGACAGTTAAAACACCTTTAGAGCTCAATATTCGTTACTCTTCTTCTGATGGTACTCCCCAATCTGACCCTATGCTCTACCGTGTTATTGTTGAGAGTTTAGTATATCTTACAGTCACTCGTCTGGATATCTCCTATGTTGTTCATATTGTTAGCCAATTTGTTGCCTCACCCACCACTGTTCACTGGGTTGCAGTTCTTCGTATTCTTCAGTATCTTCGAGGTATTCTGCACCAGAGTTTGTTATTCTCCTCCTCTTCTTCTATGGAACTCAGGGCTTATTTTGATGTTGACTGGGCTGGTGACTCAATGGACCGTAAGTCCACTACGGATTTTTGTATTTTCCTTGGTGATTCTATTGTTTTTTGGAAAAGCAAGAAGCAAACTGTTGTTTCTCATTCATCTGCTAAAGCTGAATATCGTGCTATGGCATCTACTATAGCTGAGATAGTGTGGTTACGATGGCTCTTTGCTGATCTTGGCATCATGTTACCTGCCCCAACTCCTATGTATTGCCACAATACTAGTACTATTCAGATTGCTCATAACTCAGTCTTTCATGAGCGCACAAAGCATATTGAGATTAATTGTCACTTTGTGCGTCATCATCTTCAGCTGGACACTATCTCCCTCCCTTTTCTTTCTTCTACTATGCAGTTAGCAAATTTTTTCACAAAATCGCATACTATTACTCACTTTCGTTTTCTTCTTGGCAAACTCTTGATGTTTTCTGCTAGCACATCATAAGTTTAAGGGAGGGTGTTAGAGTAATTAGAATATTTAATANATTACTCACTTTCGTTTTCTTCTTGGCAAACTCTTGATGTTTTCTGCTAGCACATCATAAGTTTAAGGGAGGGTGTTTGAGTAATTAGAATATTTAATATTAAGGGTAGTTTAGTCCTTTTATTCTTTTATGTTGCCCTACTATATAAGGGCCTTTTGTATGTTTTTTTCTATTATGCTGTAATACAATCATTCTCTATTGTCTCTTCTCTTTCTCTCTTTGCTTTTATCAAAGTTTACAAGGTTTAGAGAATGGAGAGAAACAATATGAGAGAGAAGCAGATAGTAATCAAAGAACTAACCCTGCATCTCACTAACAATTGGTATTTATAGTTATCTAATAAAACACAAAAAACTAGTATACCCTTAGAGTNGAAACAATATGAGAGAGAAGCAGATAGTAATCAAAGAACTAACCCTGCATCTCACTATCAATTGGTATTTATAGTTATCTAATAAAACACAAAAAACTAGTATACCCTTAGAGAGGTATTCTTATTACAACTATATAAAATAATACTAATACTCTCAACATGGAGCAATATTGTAATGCTACTGAAAGATGAATAATAGGAGTGCTATTGAAATCATTCTGTAGAACAAAGTAAGCAAGTCCATGTTCGTTAAATATACTAAACCTCAAGGCACCATTCTTTCTTTTGCAAGGTAACAGTTGTTAAAAACATATTCTGCACGTGTGGGATAATTGCTGGCCCCCATCAGAACGGTGACCCCAGGTCTACCTTGTNAAATCATTCTGTAGAACAAAGTAAGCAAGTCCATGTTCGTTAAATATACTAAACCTCAAGGCACCATTCTTTCTTTTGCAAGGTAACAGTTGTTAAAAACATATTCTGCACATGTGGGATAATTGCTGGCCCCCATCAGAACGGTGACCCCAGGTCTACCTTGCGCTTATTAATTTCAGTATCACAGATGTCAAGTCATTAATTTCCCCCTCCAAAAATTGAGAATGCATTGCTCGTATGCAAAGGTGATAGTTGGGACATTTTTGTCAGGGCCTGTAGGGGCACCCCACAGTCAGGCAGGCAGCAGGGCCTTAGCGAAGCAATGTGTAAAAGTAATAGACATTTCTAGATAGAAAGACGTGTGAAAATTGTCTATAGGACTCATAATATGATGACAAACCATAACAGAATTCATAGCGGGATTCAATAAAATCACCATTAGAAGGAACATATCTGTAAGTATACAAAACAGCCAAGAATTGAAGAGATTTCTGAAGCTTTGAGGAGGCCAATCAGTAAAAACTGACAGACATGTATTCATAAGTATCTAAAAGAGATGATACCAAATTTACAACTTTGGAGGGGCCATGGCTCCTCTGGGACCCGTCAATGTCCTCCACGCATGTAAGCCAAAACACAAAATTGTGATTACATAGGGTAAGATGACTAAGTTAGTTTTGTCCAACACTAGCATCTTGCCAATTTTGAAGCAGAAGATATGGAACAGAGAATAGAATATTTCTCACTCACTCTGCTTGAACCCAACGATAAGATCCGAAATCCAGAGGATAGTAGCACAGCATCATGTGGGAGCCTTTCCTCAATTGGCGCAAAAATTAGTTCTGAGCAAACTCCCACAGAATTCTCTTCCACTCCATTACATAGCTGGCACCACAATGATTTATAATGTTATGCATCAGAATAGAAAACCAGCCAGACCACGATTTTCCAAAACATGCAATGAGTTCAATAGAAGTGGGAGAGTAGTAAGTCATATCACACTACAACCAAATCTATCCTAGCATTGTTGCTTGAGAAATGTTGACACGTAACTTCNTTCAATAGAAGTGGGAGAGTAGTAAGTCATATCACACTACAACCAAATCTATCCTAGCATTGTTGCTTGAGAAATGTTGACAACGAGAAATCTTAACACCTCTTTGGGATCCATTCGAAGACAACATACTGATCTTGTAGCAAAGGTGAGTGGAATATAATGTATATACCAATATATCTGGACAATACATCATTCGTACAATAGATATACTTATATATCTGCACAATGCATCATCCGTACATATTTATGTATATTGATGTGAACAAGAAGATGAACAAATTACCATTATGACACTATGATAGGAGAACAGATGTGTGACCAGTGAAATTCAATCCCAATGAACCTACATCAAGGGTTGGCATTAAACAGCTTTGATTGCTTGAGAATGTGCTGATTGAGTAACGTGCAGAAGAGAAGAGATCCCTTGGTATGAATTGTCTGCTAAGAGGAGGATAATGTTCATTAAGCACATTAGGTTCACCACATAAAGAGAAATACTGGGATCAACGGTTTAAGAGCAAACTGGATTAGAAGAGGACTCATTGAGTGCAAATTTTAAAGCTAAAAGAAAATTAAGGGACTAGTAAACTTCGATGTCCCAGAAATCCAAAACTGGGTTTTTATCTTCTTGGTTATTTATATGATGGGAAGGAGAAAAAGAGATCAAAGAGAATCTTATCCAAATAATTACAGCATAATGGTTGAAATAGATTGGACGGTTTGGTCTGCGTGAAGTAAATTTCATTAAAAGGCATCCAGAAAGAGGGGGGGGGGGGGCTGATACAGATGAGTTTTGCGAGGTAGTACCTGTCTATCAAAATTTACTCCACACAAATCCACCCAAGCATCAAAAAAAGGAGCAAAAATCCCAAGTTCAAATAAAAATCAAGCTCTTATATTTGAAAATTGGAAGATCAACCCCTTCAAAGGCCCACCTAGTCTGCTGTCCAAAAACACCTATCTCCCACACCTCGCTCCCGATCCACCCCTACTTGAAAAATATCAACCTCTCCAAAAGAGCTTTCACAGAGCTAGGCATGGCACACCTCAGCACAAAGCCAAGAAAACAAAACAACTTTTTTGCTACTGTCCAGTAAAGTCCTCAGACTCTTTACATATGACGCACAAATAAACAAGAAAGGCATATGCATTAGGACGGGAAGAGATTTAACACAGGTCTAAAGAGCTCAGGAAAAGATTATATCCAAAAGAAAACATTTTTTCAAAGCATTCAGATGGAGGACAAAGCTTCAAATAGAGCTGGATGCAAAATTAGGATTCAAAGAGTTAATCCGAGCAGCTGAAAGTTGAAGTTTGGCTGAGCAAGAGTGTTTACACAGTTGGACAATCATTGAGCATTACCAGAGCCCTTCTAGTGAACGTCCAATGCAAAAAAAAAATCCAACCAATGAAAAACATCCACTGAGAAGCTGAAGAGGATACCTGCAATAGGTAAATATTTTGTAGGAAAGCATCTTTTCGGTGGAGAGCATGGTCTTCGAGACGAATTATTTCCAATATCTGGGACGCAAAATATATGGAATAATAAGAAGAGATAAATGACATATGCATACCCGGAAATAAGTTCAAATATGCACATGCATGATGAAGGCCATTTGTTAAAAGGTAAACATGCCATCCAGTCAGTTTGTTAGATATTGTTTAAGGACAGTTTCTTCCAACAAAAATTGCAAATCAAGCACTTAGAGGGGTTTGGATCCTCTCGAGAGGTAAGGTGCATTCAAGTGCAGCAACACGTTACTTTTTTGGTAAAGTGAATGGACTGACTCGACCACTTTTGTTTTTGGTAAACTTGTAGCACGGTGATATGGATAGAACATATCCCTTCACTTACCAAGGGTGTGATGTGTCACCGTCCTATTAATGCACTAGACCTCTTCAGTGCAACCATGCACCAGAGAGGATCCAAACTCCACTTGTGGTAATAATAGAGCAATCTACTTATTCTGTCAGTTAATTGATACTATTTCTTTTTATAACACAATGGGAGCAAAAGGCAAGAATAGACACATCAGACAAAGAATAACTACACAACGTTGTACTCAGTCCACAAAACTTATAAAGTTACCTTATTGGTATTCCTGACATGCACAGCAAGAGTAAAGATACTTAAATAGGAAAAAACCTCATCATTATTAACAGTGAGCCCAAGCAGCATGCCAGTGTCAGAAAAATGACTAGAGCCCGGCCCTGAAAATGCACAGGAGCCAGCTTTCAACAATGCAGCAGAATGTGCATCAACTCTAAAGTCTGCCCACTCAGTGCGATGCTCCCTCAGGAACTGAACCAGCAATGCAGGGGAAACATTCTAGCAAAAGTAACATACGTAACGCATCATCTTTAGAGAGGACAAATGCTCAATAAAAGTCAAATTCAAAGCTCTGTAATTATAAAATCGTAGTTCTCATATATTACCAAATATTAATATCTACTACCTGCGATATGAATACAATCAAAAACATGATCACTAACTTGGTTAAAAATTAAAATAATATGTACAGACTTTCTTTCCCTAAGAAAAAAGTAATACAAGTTGAATGTGGAAAGTACAAATAATTTGTTGAATGGAAAAGTTAATATTTGCTTTCCCATCATGTTTTTCACGTGTCAAGGTGAATCAATTTAGCTAACTTACGAATTTAAGAGATTTTCAGGGGTATATTGATGATGATTCAGTGCCCTTCCCTCTCATCGAGTGCTTTCAACTCCATTCCTATGCTAACTACTAGGAATTTACAAAACCTCTAACTTTGCCCTGTATTAATGCTAACTGAACCATAGAATGAAGTCTTTATGTCTCCATTTTCCCAGGGTTGGTCAACTTGACAGGGAACTTGAAACTTAATTTATTTATTTTTTTAACAGAGGAAACTTGGACTTTGGAAGAGCAACTATTGTCTTCAAAGCTGATGTTTCTTGAGGCTTTGTTGATAAGGCTTCCTAGGCTAATGAAATTGGGTTCAGTCAAAGCCCTCATGTATTTTATTGCTTACAATTGTCTTCTCCCTCTACGGGAGTCACTAGTATGAGATAACATCGCCTCTAAGCACTAAGAGCACCCAAATACTCCTTCCAGATAAATTCAGTCCTCTTCAAATAGACACCGGACAAGTACTGGGATAAATATCTAGAGATAACCCCAAAGAGGCATCTCAAACTCCAGAACTCTAGTTTTGAAGTGGGCTCTGGGCCATCTTTTCTACCCCTTGAGGTAATTTCAAACCAGATGTGACACTAAATTTGAGAGCGGGCTTGACACAGTGGTAAGATTGCTCTATTGTGATCTAGGCATTAATTTTGAGTCACTAAACCAGTTTGTCTGCAAGTGAGAGCAACACCGCAACATCTGACTTGTCCAGACCCTCCAGTAAGAGACTCTTGCACTGATCTGCCCTTTTTCTAATACTAGATTCAAATTCCGGAATCCTATCATATAAATTTTCAACCCCATCAAAACAATTATGTGCGACAGTATATCACTCAAACAACTACTTTATTACATTGTGAAATTATGGTCAACATGTACTTACCTGACTTATTTATATGGAATCAATTGAAAAATTGTACATCTGAACTGATTAGCAAATTGAAACAGATTAATAAATTTTATGAATCCATCATAAGTCATGACCATATTTGAACATGAAGCTTGATATTATCCATTGTAGATGGATATGAATCTAAACACATCTTCAACAAAAAAAAAACCCTAATACCATTAGACCACAAGCTCATTGGTACCAATGGTGTATCAACAATGGAGATTAAACACAAATAAATGGCTGTATTCAACAAAAGACCATCAATGTTGTATTCAATGCTGGATGTCCAAAACCAGGTAAAAGGAGGAGGGTAGCATTGGGTAGCTGACAGTCATCGTAAAACTTTGTCGGATTCACTATGATGAATCCAAACAATTGGGACATAATGCTTTGTTTGGTTTGGTTTGGTTAACTTTTGGCCAGTCAATAGTCTAGGCAAGATGCCTTGATACTAGAGATTCATAATAGTGAAAACTATTTTTGGGTATCCTAGTATGATGAAAAAAGGATTCCAACACAAAAAAGATTGTGATGGCACCTCCCCAATTTGGATGAACTTACGCCAATGCGGGTAAATGGCACAAGATGATGGACCCATATCCTCAAAATTGATTCTCCTTAGTTTTTTCAATTAAGTTCCCTATAGATGGCAACAGAGCATTAGTAATATATGGCTACAATTGGATTTCAAACCATTAACTATTAAATTCCTGAAAAATTCATGAGGGTGATGCCATCCAATATTCCTAATATATTGCTGACTAAAACAAAATATGGCAATCTTGTGATCTCAATTCATGGGGCCTATGCTTCATGCATAAAGTTAGGTGGCACCAATCTAGTTGTGTAGTAACCAAGGNTAGTAATATATGGCTACAATTGGATTTCAAACCATTAACTATTAAATTCCTGAAAAACTCATGAGGGTGATGCCATCCAATATTCCTAATATATTGTTGACTAAAACAAAATATGGCAATCTTGTGATCTCAATTCATGGGCCCTATGCTTCATGCATAAAGTTAGGTGGCACCAATCTAGCTGTGTTAGTAACCAAGAATCAAAATGTTGTTTCAGTGCTTTGTCTCGGTCACCCAAAAAATGTAAACATTTCGAAAATGTTTCAAAACCGTTTTAAAAACACAATGGAAACGGATAAAAATATTTGAAATTTTTTTCCAAAACATTTCGAAATAGTAATTGAAATATACAAAAACATCTTGAAGGACCTAGAAACATTCCGAAATATTGGAGGAAACATGTCAAAACACTTCGAAGAATCCTAAGATATTGGTGTAAACATGTCGAAACACCTCGACATATTGAAATTTCGATTCAATCAATGATTTGTTTCAATCTCCTTGGAAACAAAAAACATTTAGGTCATTTTGACAGTTTTAAAACACTTTTTGATCCTTGGTAGCTTGACTTTACTAAATATATCTTTAGTCGGAATCATAATCAAAATGGGTGGCTAACTTCAATACTGACATTCTGAATTCCTCGTTGTATTTGTCTTTTTGTTCATGGACCAAAGGATTTCACAACTTCTTTAACCAACATCCTTCATGCAATCTTGCGAATTGACAAAGTCCCCACAAATGTGGTTGATATAAAAGGCACCTTAATACGATGCTTCAACTATTGTTGTATAATAAGATGATGGCAATCGTGAAAGTGGGCTTTGCTATAACTACGATGAATGATTTACCTTGGGCATCAATGCGGAAAAAGCTTGGTAATTCCAAATGGAGTTATGGATGATTGAGACAAGCAAAGCATCTAGGGGAATAGTTGGCTTCAAGCAAGAGGGAATGCTAGTATCCTACTCATTTCAATTACTCAAAACTACATCATGGTACATACCTTTCCCGCTTTAAATCCCGATGTTAATAAACTCAATTAGGCTTCATTAATGGTGAATTTCTTGAAGGTAATTTCTTTAAGCTTACTTATGGATCTTTTGCTATATAAACTTGTTGATGCCATATGGAAGCAACGGGTTCTTCAGGTGAGAATATTCATAAACTAGGGGTACTATCACTTACAAAAGCACCAACCTACTCATTATTATTGTATATGTCATGGTGTCTTTTTGGGAATGTATTACCTCCACTAATGCTACAATCACCATTATAATAACTTATATCACTTGCCTATTTAGGGATATCTCACAATATTGGAAAAAAGTTAGGAAGAATCACCGTTATGGCCACTAGTGTTGCCAATGCTATCTACCCCTAGCAAGTCAACACAATTGCCACAGGCCAATCACCATAACCATCACAAATGTTATAAACCAAAGCCACAAACAAATAAAACCATACAGAACAGAAAAGAAAAAATAGAACACACAAAATTTACATGGTTCGGCTCAACAAGCATGCCTACGTCTACGAACGAAACCCATCGGCAAGATTTCACTATCAAAGGTTGGGGATTACAAAACCGTTCTCTGCAACAAGTAACAAGAGAATGTGTGTCTACTCTATCACTATTACAAAATTAACAGTGCTTCACAAAATCTTCTTCCCAATAAAATTGGTGTTGCCACAGAAGACCCAAAACAAAATAGAGCAAACCCAATTTTTTCCACCAAGAGAACTCGTCAACGTTGTCCTTGTCGAGAGCAACCTGTTGAACACCTCTCCTAATTTTCAAGTCCCTTTCAAGGGTGGGCACCACCAAATTCAAATTCCAAGTCCAACTAGGACATAGAAACCTATTGACCTATCTAACCAAAAACGTCTCCTGCATATTGTAACTATCATTGAGATAGTTTCTAACCCAAACACTTATACCAGCATACTTATCTTCAATGGGCCCATGAAAAATTCTGCATATAAAAAATTCAAATGGACTTGGAATACAAGTCATCAATAACAACAAAAATCTTTGTTACCACTATGGCCTCTACACTGCAGCTAACATCCAAAGTGCCCCCATCTTATCTTTCGTAGAGTTATAATATCATCATTAGAGGACTTTGGCCCTGCTCTGAGGGGTTTTCACTTAAGTGATTGAAAAATCAATGTACCTCTTATAAACATCAAATTGACTACATGAGCAATATTCATTTTCCAAAGACATCCCAAATGACCATCATAACATTTCGTTACATACTAATAGATCAACTTTGCTCCATATGGTGAAAGGTACGTCTGAAATGCTATCCAAATGTAGCCTTTTTAATTAGTGTGACAAAGAATGCAAAGTCAGTGAAGAGATAGTAGCAGCCATTGGTTCAAACATAATACAATATACAATTATGCATATATAGATATAATACTAGATTTCCCTAGCCAAAAGAATATTATTCTAGAGTTCAGTAACAAGTGTCCGCCAAAGTTCAGGTGAAAAGTAACTCGTCACTAACATCAAAAAAAATTCTGCATCAACAGTTGCTTTCTTTTAAAAGCTCAAGAAGCACTGTGATTCAAGTTCTCTGGCAAAATTTTTTCAGAAAACCTTTAATAAATATTTTCGGCCTCGGATGCCTTTACTGAGTATGCTGATTTTAAAGAGGTGCCTCACAATATACGTATATAGGATTGCAACAAGTGCAACCTGTATTACTAAAGGCCGCATGAAGTAGATTAATAGGTTCACAACTCACTTGAAGCACCATGGAGGATTTCACACAAAGGATTCCCCCAGACAATGGAAGGGCATCATTATAATTTGAATCGGTGCCAAATTTCTTGGTTGAATTAACACAAATTATCAAATCTTCAGCAGCATCATAGTCAACCAATGACCAGCCATCATCACTGAAACTGTTTATTGCATCATTGAAGCCCCTAAAATACCAAAGAACAGATAAGTGAGAAGAACCATAACAATAAAATCTCGAAGACAAACATGTATGATGCATGTACACAAAAAAAACGGAGAAGCAGAAAGATAAATTTATCAATGTCATATTTGAGTGCATGTCTAGAGACATAGATAACAGTAGAGAGGAGAGAAAAATATGCAGGCCAGAAGAATCGTCGAATTCACCTGCTCAGTTTTTGGCTGAGATCACGCAAAACAGAAGGCTGCTTGCCCAAAGTACATTTCAATTTGCCGCTCATTTCTTTAGCCATTTGCTCAATATGATGCAATGCCTACGGACAAGACCATTTGTTAGTCCTCTAAAGCAGGAAAGAATGCTTTAGCTTTGGTAATATATAAGTGTAGATAGTAACAAAATCATAAGATAATAACTGAGGACAAAGCTAGAAATTCTCTATTGGGGCCCATGGTAAGCTTTTGATTGATCCAGCAGTATTTTTACCTGATATCAAGATATTGATTGAACTTGGATGATATGTCTGAGCATCCAACTCAAAACCAATTGATAACAAGTGGAGTAGCTCCTCAAGTATATAAATCAACCTTTTGTGGTCTTAATTATTCAATGTGGGACACAAACTCTTTTTACATACGCCCTNTAGCCATTTGCTCAATATGATGCAATGCCTACGGACAAGACCATTTGTTAGTCCTCTAAAGCAGGAAAGAATGCTTTAGCTTTGGTAATATATAAGTGTAGATAGTAACAAAATCATAAGATAATAACTGAGGACAAAGCTAGAAATTCTCTATTGGGGCCCATGGTAAGCTTTTGATTGATCCAGCAGTATTTTTACCTGATATCAAGATATTGATTGAACTTGGATGATATGTCTGAGCATCCAACTCAAAACCAATTGATAACAAGTGGAGTAGCTCCTTAAGTATATAAATCAACCTTTTGTGGTCTTAATTATTCAATGTGGAACACAAACTCTTTTTACATACGCCCCCACGTGGGACCTAGGCTTGAACGTGGGGCTAAGAAACAAACAACCATGCAAACTGAATTCAAATGGATAAGATACTTGGTCCACTGACTATCCAAGGCCCAACTCTAGCTCTGATACTATGTTAGATCATTCAACTCAAAACTAATTGGCAACGAGTGGAATAGCCCCTCAAGTACAACCTTATGTGGTCCTAATTATTTGATATGTGATACAAGTTCTCTTCACAACGTCAATTGGGTTTAAGCATGGCCATTTACAGTCAATCATTGAGGCTTCAAAGGCGGGCCATAAGTTGAACGACCAGAGGGTGTATACAAGGACGTGAAGAAGATAAAAACAAAAGAGTAAAGTTGGTTGTTGTGGAGGTGTTGCTAGAGGCACAAAGGGTCTGATCACCCAACACAGGGACGAAATATGTTGGGCATTTGAGAACCACCTGAAACCAGCTAACTCATTTTATCTCATGTGCTAACCTCATTGATAAATCAAAGCCATTTCTTGCTAGAAGATAGTAATAACAATGTTGCCCTTTTTCGTTTTGGCTAGTCATCCAAATATGATCGAGGTATTAAAACGAGATGCCTTAGAAATTTGAATTATTAAATAGGAAAGATCACATTTAGTTCTCTTCAGAACCCTTATACCACTGTAACAATGGCTTGACCAAAGTGGGTATAGCTACGCAAAGTTGAGTTGTGCACAGAAAAATTGTACTATCAGTTTATTTTACGAAAAAAATAGTTTTTATTAATTGATCCAAAAAGAAGAAAGAATGAAATATACACTTAGCCATTTCCCACCGACTCGGGATCAACTATATGAATCTTTTTCTATCATTGTGCTCCATCAAGAGTAATAGTTTTGCTGTAAAACTACGAGCTATCATATACTATCTAAGTTTCTCATTCAAAAGTAAGTTTAGTTTACCCATCTTCCCTCATATTACTGTCAATAGAAATCACATCAGTCTTGCTCATTGTTGCTGGAATAAATCTTCTATGAATACTTCTGAACCACCTAAGTTGAGTCTCTCCTAATTGATCTCCTACTTATGTTATTTCTACTTTTCTATGAATACACTCATTCCTAATTTTTCCTTTCTACTTTAACTACACCTCCATCTCAATCTCTACACTTTAGCAAAGCATAGTTTCTGAGTGTTTAGTTTCTCAGCCACCAAATGTTACGTAACATGTAGCATGGTTGGTCTTATGATTCTCTTGCAGAGCTTACAGGCTCAAAGGTGTATGTCAACCATACAACCACCACATGCACTCCTCCACTTAATCCATTGCGCTTTAACACTGTAAGTGGCATCANAATCTCTACACTTTAGCAAAGCATAGTTTCTGAGTGTTTAGTTTCTCAGCCACCAAATGTTACGTAACATGTAGCATGGTTGGTCTTATGATTCTCTTGCAGAGCTTACAGGCTCAAAGGTGTATGTCAACCATACAACCACCACATGTCCATTGCGCTTTAACACTGTAAGTGGCATCATCACCGATCTCACCCAAAAATATCAAAAGTGTCAACTATTTGGTATCTTTTGATCTTCAATATCTAGTACCTTCTCATTTGGATTTTTATTTATACTATAGTTACATTCCATAACATTCAGTTTTAGTTCTACCTATCTTGAAGCTTTTACCATAAAGCTTTTTTTCCAAACATAATTTATTTTTAGTTCTTACTTTAATTTCATCAATCAAAACTAGCTGATCATCAACAAAAAATATACACTGTGGACCTTATTTTGATTATGTACATCCATAACTAATTTTAAACCATACAATTTAAGGCAGAACCCCTATATAAGCCTACAGCTATTGAGAATTCACTATTATTCCCTACAGTAGTTCTCACTATGTTCCATAACAAAAAAATTGACAAAGTATTAGTGTTCTATCAAAAAATAGCAGGTTGATAGGGACAAATGTCTTGCTGGTACAATTTTTCAACAGCTACATTATATTAAAAGTTCTAGCTTTGACTTTCACGGAATCAAGGGTGAGGCAACAAAATGACATGTCACATCCCTTTTTTCAGATCATAAACAAACGTTATCGAAAATAGAAGACACGAGAGTTGTGTATATGGTGTACACTTCAACTCTACAAAATCAAGCCCCCAGTAACTAATGTACAATGTTTTCAAAAAGAAAATTCAACATTTATCTAAAGAAAAAGACCCTACTCTTCATTTCAAAAGATTCTCTTATCCATATCTTTCTCTTGCCATCATCTTACAAGGTGAGAAGTATAAACAAAAAGCAACCATTTAAGTCAGGTACACATAAAAAAGACTGGGTACACATAAGTTAGTTAGATTCTTCAGCTCAACAAAAACATTCACGACTTACAGGTCGACCGCATAAAGCTCACCAACTCAACTGGTTACATTGACTTTGAATATCACATCTCCGGTCCAGCAGTAACTTAATTAAAAGAATTGTAATGTCAGAAAAAAAGAAACTTCTAGCCAATAGACCTATGCACCCTCGGCAAAATCTATAGGGACAGTTCTTTCAGAATTTTAACTCTTAGTAATATGTCAGAAGATCAGAATCCTATTATTTGTATCAATTTGCAAACAATGCCTCCGGAGAAGGTGCAACACTTGCACGATAAAACTAGTGACCCAGAGTGAGAGCTACGTAAGTGACAACAAAATTTTGTTTTCACGACTGGAGTGATTTCCATTGTGTCTCTCTTTTAATAGCTTGTGTTTACAACTACCAGGTAAACTCTAATTATCTCTGATATGTAGGTGACATATCTTATGTTAGGTACATAAGTAACAAAGGAGCTTTCTTTTGACAATTACAGTAATTTCCCTTGTAATATCTCTTAATACCTTGTGTGTAACACTACCAGTAAAATCTAAGGGTGCGTTTGATAACGTTTTTGTTTTTATGCTTTTTTTTTTTAAAAAAGCAACAAAACAAGTTTTTATTTTTTCTGTGATAAATATGAAACATATTTGGTAATTACTTATATTTAAAAAATTATGAAAACAAAAATAAAAAACATGGTTGGTATTATACCAAAAATCCACCACCCAACACCACCTAAACACACCACTACCAACCACCCAACCCCACATCTAACCACTGAAATCCACCACCCACCACTCCCAAACCCCCGAAATCCACCACCCACCACCCCCACCCCGAAGGCCCCCACTCCCAAAAACCCACCCAATCCCACCCCCAAAAGCCCACCCGGAAACCACCCAACCCCACCCCCAAAAATCCACCCCAAACCACCACCCCCACCCCCAAACCACCTAAAACCCACCACCCCTACCCCTAAACACCCTGAAAACCCNCCCCCAAATCACCCAACCCCACCCTCGAAAACCCACTGTGAAACCCACCATCCCCCACCCTCAAAAACCACCACCCCAGAAGTTAGGTATTCTGCCAGAGCTCTTTGATGAAGAGGCAGAGCCTTCGGTTGGCGAAGGCGAAGGCAAAGGGGCAGCGCCTTCAGTTGGGCAAAGACGTCAGTTGAAATCTAAGAAGATGGAGGAGAGTTTCCTTCATTTTGGCTTTTTATATGGTGAGGGAAAAAGAAAGGTTTTTTTGTTGTTAATGAGGTTTGAAGTCTAGACCTCATTAAATGAGACTCTCTACCTTCTGCCTGTTTTTTTTTTTTTTTGGATGTTCATCATTTTGGATGTTTTTAAAAACTGGCATTGTTTTCAAAACGGATCAACAAAAAAAAAAAACAAAAACTTTTACCAAACATATTTTTATTTTCATTTGTCCCAAAAATTGAAAACAAAACAAAAACAAACAGAAATTTGTGGTTACCAAATGCAACCTAAGTTATCTCCAATAAGAAAGTGGCATATGTATGACCACAATGGCATGTGCATCAGCTACAGTCAGGTGAAGTGAGGATAAGAAAGCACGAAACACTTGCTAGCTTTCATTCGTGATCGCTATGAGAAAAGACAGTTATAAGCAGTTGCAGTCTGGGATACCCAACAAGACATATGGCAGAGCCAAAGCAAGGAAAATGACTTACCTCTTGTAAAGAAAGCTTCTAACAGCCTCATAAAATTTATAAACCAGTATGAACTAGTCAAAAAGAAGGGATCCTCCAGTGCACATTTCCAATTATCGTTTAGTTTTGGAATTTAAACTTAGGAGCATGGAAACAGTAAGTGTCAGAAGAACTTCATCCTCCTTGATTATACGACAATGAGTTGTCTTTGTATTCAAAATGGAAGGCAAGTGTATTGATTTTTGTCAAATTTATGTTCAATTTTGTATAGTTATATTCAATTGTGGGATTTAGTATTTAATTACTCCTTAAAGGCAAACCAAAACCCCTGAAAGCATATACACGATAATTAATAACATTATAGCAATTATTTCTTGAGAGAAAAACTCAAACTCTACAATTTACACTAAGCAATTAAGCATATCATAAAAGGGTCAGTTCCCTCACAGGGTCTAACCCTGTGAGAAGGTGGCAAGGATTGTGTTGCAGCTTGGAATGAGAAAATGAGCAGGAGTGTCACAGTATTCCTAAGATCTCTGCACACTCAGTCAAGGTTTCTGGCACCTTTGCACGTGAAGGAGTAGAAATGTAAATAATGGTCAGAGTTGTCAGACATAAAGGAGAAACCTCAAAGAGCTCAAGAGAATGAGCTCAAAATGTTCTGAATTCTCTCTGGAGGTTCTCTACTAAGATATGGGTTGTCTATAGTCCTGGTAGACTAAGTACATGTAAGTATTCCGTAAGTTGGAACTTCAAAGGATTCACAATTGACTATGGGTTGTAGATTCAAGTGGATTGAGAGTGCCCATGTAAGGCTCTCAATGTGGAAGAGCAGAAGTTTATGTCATAAAGCTATACTATGTTAATTGGACCAACATATGTATTTTTAGTCTTCTCTCTCATTTGCCCAGACGAGCTCAAGTACCATACCACAGGTTGGGTATGGGCATCGCACCTTGGAGGGTGCTCAGTCCAACCCAAAACCCCGTATCCTTCTCTTGATACAATTCACGACACAACCGTGGAGGACAAAAATGACACTTGTACATATGTACAGGGTATCCTTCGAAACTGCCCAGTTTAGGGATTTACAATTATTTTATGCCTAAGATTTTCCTTCTAGATTACAGCTGCAAAGCAAAATGCCTTGTTGCCTGATGGATTGGCTATCCTCGAGGTCCCTGCTCCAAGGAATGTTCCCACATGACACGGGGAAGCGTGTGGTAGAGTCCACTTGAGGGATCTGGCCTAGTGACTCCTAGATTATTTTTGGGTAAAGAAATGTGAAGCGTCATCTTGAGATTGTGCCTTTTCTATCAGAAATTGATTTTTGGTAGTTTCATTTTGAGTTACACATCAGTTACTTCCATTGTGGGAAGCATGGATATGACCTTTATACCTGTCACAAGGCGCCGAGTTGGCTTGCTAGGCCAGTATGAATCCTGCTATATGTTACTCTCATTTACTACCCTTGTACACATATAACTATCAGGATCCAAAATACAGTAACATTTTCCACTTACAGAAATTGTCATCTTCTGAGCCACAAGTTTGGATGACTCACAAAGAGGTTGCACCACCTCAGGAACAGTCAATGCCTGCCAGGATATTGATTTTATAAAATTAAGGTAGCCAAAAAGGCTGGAAAGCTGAAACCAAGCTAGAAATAAAACCTCGAGATCCAAGTGGTCAACAATGTGAATGATCGACCCTTCCCCCTCACACGGCCGAATCAGATAGCCACTTGCCAACATCTTGGCTCTTACAAATTCCAAAGCAGCAGGTGAGCTCAGCGCAGCACCAGAACCCGACATCGATGTCTCACATACCTTGAAATATCCACACCATGGTACTATGAAATTAAATATCGTTAAGTACAATAAGATACCAGTAGGTTATAGAATAATCCTATCAGAAGTACAGAAAACTCAAGAACCAACACATGCTGAGGAATTTATTGTTGATTGTGCAAACCCTGAGTTACATGTTCACAGAACACTCCCTTCAAAAGAAAAGGCAAAAGAAGTAATGTAACAGCTTTTTAAAATGGCTTAAATAACATTGGAAAAATTAGTTAAAGTATAAAACATCTAACTCAAAACCAACTGAATGAGTGGAGAAGTTCTCAAGGCTCTTATACTAGTTCCGGCGGGGCTATTTTATCAATGGGGAACAAGCTTTGATGCTTCCTCGCACGTGAAGAGATAAATAGCATAATCAGAAGACAACTTCAAGTGCACCTATGGCATGCAAAAAAAAAATCAGAGGAATTGAGTTTTGTCCGAACCTTACTGAAGCCCAGCCCTGATACAAATATTAAAGCATCTAACTTAAAACTAATAGGCAATAAGTGGAGAAGCCCACAAAGCTCCTTTTCATAAACAAGTTTGGGAGGTGCTGTTTTGTGTAGGACAAGCTCTACCAAAACTAAGTATGAAATTGGACCTGCTAGAGAAACAATTTTACTGAAATGACTAATGTTTTTAGTCTTATGCATAAATGGGGGTAAAATAATAGGGCTTATGCGGCGGGGAAACTTTCAACAAATTCACAAGTAACAAGACATTCAAACGGGAATACCAAATATTTCAGCCTCAACTTAGTACCGTAAACAGAAACAATCAGAACCTGTATTTCTTCCCGATTACAACTATATACGAAGCACTCTTGCCAAAGAATAAATGTACATCTTACCAATAAGGAACAAATTAAATGCAATGGGAAAGCAGATCATACCACAAGGCTCCCATCTTCCAAAGTTGAAGTATATCTGAGTGTCCAAAATTCACGTGCAAAAGCCAGGATAGTAGGGGCATAAAACTGAATGCAAATGTTAAAGAGTTATGTGCAGGAATAATGACAGCAAACAGCCAAAAAAATGTGGTCTCACTACAGTACAGTTGAAAATCTTCAGGAAGCTTAAAACATTATTTAATATCTACTCACTTGCATGTAGATTAACTCAACTGTTCCCCCATTTCTAGCTGGAAAGTTGGCAAAGACTTCCATTTTTCGACAATCCCGAAACCAAGAGGGACGGTCTTTAAGGATTTCCATTATCTAGTACACAATGCTAACAAAATATTAGCGGGGACATAAATAACAAAAAAAAGTGAAAGGCGAAGAAAATATAAAGTAACTTATTACCAAGACTGTTCCACAAACTTCACTTGATCTATTTTTTCAAAAAAGTTCATTTTACTGGAAATGCACAGTCATTCTGACATATTGTATTCAACTATCACATATAGATTATGGCAACTATGCCAATTATATGGAGCTTGGTCAGATAAAAACAAAGCATGCCTTGATAGGATCTAAAGGGACCACTGTGCATGCCCGTGCAGCCACTCCAACGCAATTGTGTGAAATGTAAACGATCCTGCCTGAGTCTGGTCCAGACTGGTAAAAAAAATGAAGAAATCGATAACAAGAATGAATTTCAGCAGTGCACTGTACAAGGATAATAACAAACAGCCCTAATTGATCAGTAAGATCAACAGTCCATCTTGGTTGATGTAACAAAACAATCCAATGATATAAATTTTCTTTCTGTGTATAGTTTCAATCAGCTTGGAAATAGAAATGTTTCGAAATTATTTTAGACAGAGACCGGAAATGGAGCAATATTTGGTGCATTTATTCCCAAAATATTCTGAAGCAATAGTCGAAGCATACCAATGCATCCTGAAACGACTCGAAACATATGAATTTCAATACTCACACTAATTCGTTGCAGTTTCCATACAAACCAATTCGGTGGAAGAGAAACGAAGTCTTAATCCTTGATACAATCAATTTGTATGTGTGTATGAATATATCAGTAATGATTATGCAAATACAATGATTAAAACCTTCATCCTGGTAAGTGGGACCCAGTCCACAGCACTTCCTGTTGCTTTTGAAAGAAATGCTGTCATAGTCTCCTCAGCCAGAAATTGGAGTCTACAGCATACCCAGACAAATGGATAAATTACCGCAATTGAAAACTTGTATCAAGCAAACCTGTAAGATGAGTCTATGGTGTCACTAGTATCCAACATTACCCCACAGTATTATCCGCAGCCCACAAAGAATGTTGAAGGAAGTTGGCTGCAGACTCGTGGCTGGTATCAATAGTTGCTGCAGGTACCTGCATCAAAATCATTATTGGAGTAGAATTTGGCAGAGCTATTAAAGAACTAATGTAGAACGGGAAGGACTAAAAATCACAGAATAGAAAAAGAAGAAGAAAAAAAAGGGGGTGAAAGGGGTTTACCTAATCCTTGCAAGGAATCGGTAAAGAAACACAAATTCTCCACGGAGAACTACTTTTATTATATCACTCTCTCTAATTAAAAATAGTTGGGATTACACCATTATTTATAGGCCAAGTCCCCTACTTAAATAAAAATTATTTTCTTACTAAAATACTAAAAGAGTTTCATAATCAAACTCTCAAATCACTATCCTACTAAAACTCTATAATAATTTCCTAGTTAAACTCTAATTAATACTCCTAGTCAAACAAATACTCATAAATCAGATAATAATAAAAAACTATCAATTACACTTCCCTTTGGACCAAAAATTTCTAGTCTTTTGCCTAGACTTCTGTTAGAGTTATAGCAGCCTAGTTTAAAAGACCTAGTTTATTAGGGTTCTTTTTCTCTTGGGAGAATTACACCCAGACCCCCCCTGAGGTTTGTCAGTTAATTACTCAGACCTCTTGATATTTAAAATATTACACACAGACCCCTTGAGGTTTGTACGCGCGTAACACTTTGACCCCTGATGTAAATATATCTGTTAATAAATTACACTTAAACCTTTCTAAATTTTGTAGGTATATAATATTTAGACCCCTTGAGGTTTGTACGCACGTAACACTTAGACCCCTAATGTAAATATATTTGTTAATAAATTACACTTAAACCTTTCTGAAGTTTGTAGGTATATAATATTTAAACCCCTTAAGTTTAAAATGTTATACTTAGACTAAAAATATTTCAATCAAAGATAAAATATCAAATATTTTAAATTTTACAATTAAAATTCATGTTTTATTGTATCATTTATTAAAATAAAATCAAAAATAAAAATTTTATTTTTTCATAAAAAATGGTAATTAGTATACAAATTGTCTATTGAAATTTAATTTGGTTGTTTAAACGACCAAATTAAAATACCAAACTATCTCAACTAAAGATACAATATATTATGTCCATTATAGTTTGATCCCTTATTTATTTTTTTTAGTTTTATTCTAATAGATAGTATAATTATATACTAACTATAATTTTTTTAAAAACTTAAATTTTTATTTTTAATTTTATTTCAATAAATGGCATAATAGGAACATGAATTTTGATTATAAAATTCACGTTTTATTATGAATGATTTAGATTCCTTGTTTGATTATTTAGTTTTATTCCAAAAGATATTAAAATTGTATACCAATTACGATTTTTAAGAAAAAATTAAATTTTTAATTTTAATTTTATTTCAATAAATAATACAATAGAACATGAATTTTGATTGTAAAATTTAAAATATTTGATATTCTATCATTGATTGGAGTATTTTTGGTCTAAGTATAGTTTTTTAAACTTAAAGGGTCTAAGTATTATATACCTATAAACTTCAGAGGAGTTTAAGTATAATTTATTAACAGATATATTTACATTAGGGGTCTGAGTGTTACGCACATATAAACTTTAGGGGGTTTGTGTGTAATATTTCAAATGTCAAGGGGTCTGAGTGATTAAATGACAAACCTCCCGGGGTCTGAATATAATTCTCTCTTTTCTCTTTTTACCCTTATTATAACTTTTATATTTTGCTTAAACTACAAGGATGTTTAGGTCACTTTGTAATATTATTTGGTTATATATACGAGGCTCTACTCTTAATTTGAGTATCCCTTTTCACGCACAACTAGTTCAAGTTGGTATCAGAGCCAAACTCAAACTCAAACCCTAACCCTAACCCTAACCTCCACCGTAGACTCCACTATATTCATCAGCCACAACTCCAAACAGCACCCAGTAAGCAACGATCCAGACTGCCAGCAAACCACCCACCGACTTCCAGCATACTGTCCATCTACCGTCTGCTGGCAAACTGTCCAATGAAACCACCCAGGCCAGCACCGAACCAAACCATCAACTACCCTCACCGACTGCTTAGACCAGCCGACAAACAACCTCAATCCACACCTTGTCCAACTGCAATTGCAACAAAACCACCCACCGACAAACAACCTCAAGCAAACTCAAAACCCATCTTCACCTTTAACCAACCAACCTTCTGCCTAGAACAACCAGCGAACCCACACCAAAATCAGCCTCCAACATCACTGACAGCCATATACTCCAACAACAGCCAATATCAGCCAAAACAACACCGACAGCCACAATCCAGTTTATTGCTCCAACAGCCCAAACCCAATACACTGCCCATCCACCGACAAACCCAAGTCCATAAACAATAGCAACCACTACTATAATAATAAATAATAAAAAAAACCCAGATCAGCCCAATAAACCTAGACCAGCCCACTGCCCACTGCTAACTACTGGGTCACTGTCCAGCCCATTCATTAGTACTCCCTTGAGAAGAAGAATTAGCACTAGCCCGAGATGATTTGTTTGGAGTAAAAGTATTCTCTTGGGGTTTATTAGTACACTTACCTTGATTTGCATCTACAACAGTTCTCTCGATCCGGGTTGGAGGTGTCATAGAAGACCTCATATAAGATCTCTTTTTCAACTCATCTTCCATCTAATAGGCAACCTGAACTACATCTGCCATGGTGTAAAGTCTACTTGCAGCTAAACTCATAGAAATTTGTGAATTGAGACCTTGCCTGTACATGGCAATCATTCATCCTCAATCCATGGAAACTCTGATCGGGTGGCTAAGCTGTAGAACTTTCCTATGTACTCCTTCATAGACATACTCCCTTGATTCAATTGTACAAACTGTAGATGAGCTTGTTGCTTATAATTAGTAGGCACAAAGTAGCGGGTCATAGCAGTCTTCATATCATCCCATGATCTATCAAAGTGAATTTGTTAGTACTTATACCCACCAAAGTCTTGTTGTATCCTTCAATTTTAATTCTGCAAAGAATACCTTCCTCTCATCTGTCAAAAGATACCATCTGAAGAAGCTTTCAATGTTATGCAACCAATCAAGGAATATCTCGGAATTATTATCTCCGTGAAAATCTTCAACCTCTAATTTAACCCCTTCATTAAAATAAAGCAATCTTGGGTCTTCTCGAACTGGGCCTTGTGGTGGAGGGACTTGTGCGAGCATTGGTTGTTGATTGATAGCCGATGAGGAGGAATCATGATTTGCATGCATCTCCACTCCTTTACCCTTTTTATCTAGAAGATAAGCTTTCATGATCTCCTTTAGTGATATTATAGACGCCTCTAGTGAATCCATCCACTCATTCATGGCCTTTTGTGAATCAATTTGTGCTTGGGATAAAGCCTCCACTTTAGCATTTAATTCGGCGTTGAAAACCATCTTAATAGAAGAGGTTTTAGGGATTTTTTAAAAAAATCTAGAGTTAAATTGTAATTTCAGAAACTTTGGGGGGTAAAAATTGTAATTTTAAAAAAAGTTGAGGGGTGAAAGTATAATTTTAGAACTCTAGGGGTCAAATCTGTAATTTTGGAAAGGTTTAGGGATGTTTGTATAATTTGGTGAGGTTGCGTACTGGATGTGTAAGGAGGGCAGTGGGTTATTTTTTTTTTTTTTTTTTTTTTTTGGTTGGACTTGGTTTGGGCTATATATATATATATTTTTTTTTGGGATGGACAATGTTTAGGTTTTGGGTATTATATGGGTTAGTAGAAAATTCTTTTGAATAAAAAAAAGTGATTGGGTCAAGGGGCAAAAGACTAAACAGTGTATTGTCTTCTTCCTCCACAACCCTAGGTTGGAATAACATCAATCGTAATGAACAACATCCCAAACAGGCCGTGTTTGAAGATGATGAAAGAAGACGTTATGAGCAGTAACAATTTTGGTAAAGATCCAACTATGAATTGCAGCAGTAGAGACAAGAAAAGTAGCAAGAGATGATAGATCGGAGTTTTGCTCTGATACCAAATTGATGTAAAACGAGAAGGACTAGAAATCACAGAATAGAAAGAGAAGAAGAAAGAAGAGGGGGTGGAAGAGATTTATCTCATCTTTACAAGGAATCGGTGAAGAAACATATAAATACTCTACGGAGAACCACTTTTTATTATATCACTCTCTATAATTAAAAATAGTTGGGATTACACCATTATTTATAGGTCAAGTCTCCTACTAAAATAAAAACTATTTTCCACTAAAATACTAAAAGAGTTTCATAATCAAACTCTCAAATCACTATCCTACTAAAACTCTATAAAAATTTCCTAGTTAAACTCTAATTAATACTCCTAGTCAAACAAATACTCATATATCAGATAATAATAATAAACTACCAATTACACTTCCCTTTGGACCAAAAATTCCTAGTCTTTCGCCTAGGCTTTCAAAGTTGATTGTATTGGTCCAACCAACCAATGGCTGCGCCATCAAGAACTATGAAGCTCTCTCTTCAATTAACACTCTAGTGCAAGGGGACATTTACTACCTCCATAGATGGAAATACTGCATTAGTTTGTATTTCCTCAATCTTTTTTTCCTTCAAAAGATGAGACAAAAAGAGTCAATACTCTTTAAAATAGTTCACTTCTAAAAAATCATCTTAAAGAGCCACTTTACATGAAAGTACAACCAAGTTTGTTCCTAAGTACTGCAAGAGTACAATGTCATAGGGTCCTCAAGGCAGCAAGCAAACAATCTAAGTTCCAAAAACTCAGAGTGAACCCCACTTATCACGCTTAAAGTAAATAGATGATAAGGTTTTTGAAGTATTTGACTTCACATTCCAGTGTAATATATAGCTAAATGAGGGAAGAAATATTCTAGCACTTTGAAGAACAGGGGAAATGGAAATAATTTGGCAAATACTGCTTGTTTAAAAGAGTTTCTGGATCTTCCTGACAGTATGAGTATTATGCTTCAATTCTCAACGTAGAGTCTTCATCATACAGTATTCACACAGATAACATAAAAAACGCTACAAATGTTCAGCTTAGGATGTGCAACAAAAAAATTATAACTTGAAAAAACTTGCATAATTATTGCTGGGAAATCATGAAACATGGATGCTTAATTTTGTTATCAAGAAGGAAATTTTAAATCATGAATATACTCTATTGTGGTTTTATATAGAGTTAACTTTTTATACTTTTTTCTCAATCATCTCAACCAAAGTAAATCCATTCAGAATACTTGTCATCTATGAAGGATCTAGCCATTAAGGAAGTCTCTCATTTCAATAATAAAGCTTGTAAACCAAAAAATAGAACAAAAATTCTCAGTGACAAAAGGAATGAAAGAAAGGAAAGAAACAACCAAAACTATTTAAGCCTCTAAGTCATGGAGATAAATTTCCTACCATAACCAGTGGAATATAAATGTGCTATCTGCTATGCTATATGGTGGTGGCTGCTGATTGCCTGGGGCCATTCCCAACCTAATCACCTGCTCCTAATGTCTTGGCGCATTCACCAAATATAGTAATGAAGGAAATGGAAGTCAGATGCTGGTTTAGCCATGAAGGCTCTCGTATGAACCATGTAACATTCCGGATATGTGGGCACGAATTTGACAGAAGCTAATCGGATGTGTCTTTACCACTTTATTGGGCTTCTGGAACTTTATGGTTAAGTATTCAGGGACATCAAATAGATTTCTATATTACTAGCTGTTCAGCACTCCTCCCTTCTTGCCTATTTCGCTAGCATGATTCCTCTCTAGAGTCTCCTTCAAGTCCTTACTCCCGCATAAAGCCATTTTTAGGGACTTTTGATAGGTGAACTACTTCCTATTGCTTTAACAAAAGCCCTCTTACTTTATGGTTGAGTATTCAGGACATCAAATAGATTTCTACCAACGTAAATGCCAAAAACAAATACATCAAATTTCAAAATAAGTATCTTTTATGCAAGTACAACTGGTATTTATTTGAAATAAGATGAGGAAAAATACTTATTTAACATGCCTGCTTATAGTTGTTGAGACCAAGACAACATATATTTGTAAATTGTGATCCTACCGGAGTTTACAGCACCACCAGGAGGACAAGAAGGTGGAACCAAAGATCATGGATCAAGAAGGTGGCATACTTGATTGCTGAGAATTCAAAGAGAATTGTTGCTAGGAAAACATGAATGGTATTGAAACAAGTTGCTCAGAAAACCCCAGGTCATCAAGACTGTGGCCTGTTCAGTTGAATTCGAACACGAGATAGAAGAAAAAAAGAAGACAAATTTTGCACCTCAACATACAAGATCGCATCATACAATACAAATCACCACCCACTGAACATATTCATGACTTCAAAATTTTTAATCAGAAATTTAACTAAACAAGTATAGTGAACCACCATGTTCCGAAATTTTGAGATTTTGTGATTAGAAGGGAATATGGATGATGTAAATGTGGGATGACAGGAGAACAAGATGAAGCTGCAATGTTCCATGTCAGCAGAAAGACATCATAGCCATATTTACAGTTTCCACCAAGCAAGATGCTCCCATTTGTAATTTTCATCTAATGAATAGACTTGACAATGAACTTAAACATATTCTAATACGAAGACATCCAAAAATTATGTTCTACAAAAGTAGGATTGGTAAGATTTACCAATTCAGTAGTGCTCCAATATGCAATCGTTTAGTTCCACGATAAATAAATGAATACAACAAAATATAGTATGGTAAGTTGCCTATGATGAGTTCATAAATTCAACAACATCATATGCTTTCAACAATTATTTGGTGAATCCGATAGAATCAACAATCAAATGCTTGCAACAATAAGTCAATGAATCCGATAAAGACAATTTCTTCTACTGGAAAGACTAGTTAGTCCATTTAGTATGCTTTCCTAATTCAGTCATTAGCTGATATTCAATCATTCACTTCCACGATGCACCAGCGAACACAACAAATGAACCATAATATGTTTCCTCAATAAGTCAGACCAAATCCAACGGTCAGATGCTCCCAACAACTATTCCATGAATCCGAAAAAATAAACAATCGTATGCTTCCAACAATAAGTCAACAAATCAACAACGATATGGTTCCAGCAAAAATATAATGAACCCGACAGAATCATCAATCATATGTTTCAGCAAATCAAAAAGGGAGTCATTAGTAAACTATAAAGCATTAAAACCAAACTCAAAAGGAAGGAAATGCAAGAGAAGTAATCAGCAAGAATAACCTAATGATGTTCACAACGACTTAGCATACATTTTTCAGATGCTGCCGCAAGTGTTTATTCTCATATACCAGCTCCGTCACCTGATTCCGAAGGCGACCATTCTCTTCCATCAATAGCTTGTTTTCAGCAATCAACTTTTGGTTTACCAACTGAAGGTCGGTATTTTCTTTCCTCTGCTTGTCACGGCACCTGCAAGGAAAGAGAAGTACAAAAAATATGGTGAGACAAGACAGACTTGAGGAACCAGTATGCTCAGATTATTCTTAACTAATAAAATTTATTATGAGAAGACAATTTGCTGCACCTGCAAGAAAAGAGAAGTACAAAAAATATGGTGAGACAAGACAGATTGAGGAACCGGTATGCTCAGATTATTCTCAACTAATAAAATTTATTATGAGAAGACTATTTGCTAGAGTCTGCTATTTACACCAAGTGAGTTCCTTGGATGGAATCATTTTGCATGATAAGAATCAGAGGTTCTGCTCTACAAAAGATAACTTATACCAAAACCCTCACCATTGTTCACTTTTATGAATGCAAATTCCACAAAAAGATTGACCTTATCAAGAAACCTATGAAGCCATTGTCTACTTTGGTAAAAGCATTTAAGAATTTGAATCCACAAAGCGAGAAAGCTGCAACATTAATCGGAACTAAATCAATAGAATACATAAATGATCAATAATTTCCATCTTAAAACTTCTTGGCATGTGAGAGTCTTACAAAATAGAGGCACACAACAACAGCTGTAACGAAACAAACTGAAAAAAAAAAAAAGAAAGAAAAGAGGAAAGTGCTCATTTTCATACCTCCGGTTCTGAAACCAGATCTTAATTTGCTTAGAATCGACACTCCCAAGGACCGGGTTTGCTCTTATCATTTCCTGCCTTTGATAGTTATTTGGCTTCGAACACTCACCAAAGCATTTCTCAAGTACCTCAATTTGCGGAGCTGTGTATCGAGCATGCTTGCCGCCATCCCCATGACTCCTCCTCTTGCTATTGCCTCCCCTGCTACTCCCAACACCTGAGTTCCCGGCTATTGCCATGCTTGCTATTGAGACTCAAAACACACAAGCCAAAAACACTACAACTAAAAAGTAAATCCTTGAAACAAGAAGCACCTGTATTTTAAGCTGTTTTGGGACTTAGAGATATTCTTGCCCAGTCAGATTACCACAAAGTGGTACATGACAGGGTGAGATCAGTTTGAGATTATAGAGATAAGTGATCAGTTTCAGCACCAAAGATGCTCCAAAGCAGTGGACCTGGGCTGTTCATAACGCTCATATTTTGTTGTTTTGTTTTGAAAAATTTAAACGTGGGACAAAACAAACCCTGCGTTTGTTCAGAGCACACATACAAGGTAAGTCAATTAAGACAAATACTTTAGCAACTCCCTTGTCTTAACTGCACATGTGTTAGAACCTTAAACTAACTCATTAATACAGCTTGAAATTGGGATTTCACACAAGCATCTTCAGTCTTACATGAGAAATTTAAGATAATCTCCAGAATCACCACGATTACATAAATATCCCAGATTCAAAGCAATTAATCAATGAAAATACAAACCAACTAAAAAAACACACACAAAGATTCTCAATAACTGTGAGAACGTTTTGCGATAATTTGAGCCCAAATGGTATAGACATTTTCGCACATACACATGCCGAACACAGACGGAGACCCAGAGAGTTTCCCATTAAAAGCAAGCTTAGTAACATGAGTCCATCTCACAATTACATTGATCAAGAAGATATATACACATATATATAAAACAGCAAGCTAGGTTACATTACATGAATTCCGGTCTGTTGCATAATAAATCTTCAGATGAAAATATACACACATAGTGCATTGAGAGAGAGAGAGAGCAATTAGCTTGTGTATTCCAACTATAATCCGTGACGATCTTGAACTTTTACAGGAAATATAGCTCTAATCTGAACCAATTCAACTTGGAATTTGTAGATTTTTAAACTGAGTTCATCGAGGTGAAGAATGTCAAAATTTATCACCGCTTTTCTCCTTGAAATCGTCTCTAATTTCACATTTCTGGCAAGCAATTCAACATGAAACACTTAAACCAACGCCAATGAAATGAAAGGTTCTGGCGGAAAAAAATAAGAGAGAGGGACAATTTTAGAGGGAAATATGAACTGATATTTGATCCGACCCGAACACTTTTTTTCCTTTCTTTTTTAAATTTCCTCCATTACAATTATTGAATTGACAATAAGTTTTATCAAATACTAAAAGTAACTCGTACCTGAAAATACATTACAATTTTAATAATTTTGAGGGAATATTGATAATTGTTTGATAAGTCTATTTGAAAATAAGTTTATTCAACGGTCTCAAATAGATTTATCCAGCAATCACTAATATTCCTCTCAAAATTATTCGCGTTATACCGTACCTTCAGACATCAATTACCTAATATATAATATTCTTTGATTTTTCATTACCTTAGAGCAAGCGGGATCTTCAACAATTTAAATTTAAATATTAAAACATACCTTCTCTTTTTTCTTTTTTTTTTAATTTTAAATGGGTTTGTTTCACTCAAATCACCCATTTATTTTACCCATGACCTTTTTGTACTTGTAATTTTGGTAATGAGTGATGTAATCTGCATCCAATATGCTTTTATATGGCTTAGAAACCTCAAACATAGACATGCATTAAATATAAATACTCATCTCTTGGGGTTTGTCATGATCCTTCTTGAGCATTCTTCATTATCATTATTTACTAAAATAATTAGATTATCAAAGTAGGAAAGAAATAGATCAAGAGTGCACATATAAAAAGGCAATAAAATTATGTGATTCTGCATGGTATTTATTATATATGATAAGTATTGAAAAATCTTCCCCCCAAAGCTAGTAATTCTCTTATTCTCCTACAGATTGGGATCCGGTCGGCGTTAAAAATTGGACATTTGCAATGTTAAAATCCCCACCGTCAAAATAAAAACATTTTAGGTGCCAAATTTTGATGAAACTAATAGAGAATCCTCTAATTCCTTATGAATTAGATAGTTGTTGAATCTCATGGCATACAAACGACACGAGGCTGGTCTAAATAAAAATGGGGATCCCAAGCAAAAAAATTATATGGGGCATTTTTAAAATTTAGTATTATCATAAAAGTAATTATATATATATATATATGAAATTAATATTTCAAATGTAAAAATACTAGTTAAGTTTTTATATTTACGTATTGCTAATGGGTGAGAGTACATTATCCGAGATGGTATCTAAGGAAAATTTTAACTTTCATGCGTAAAACTATAATAAAAAATTCAAGATTGAAACTAAAAAACACTACTTTGGAGTCAAATGACACTTTTTGGGTGGTTAGCCACAACATTTGGCCTGTCAAGATCAATAAATCATTCTTCTAAGCATAAAAGAATTTATAATATAAAACATGACATATTTTAATAAATAAACTTGACAGTCTCAAATAGACTCATTCAATGATTATTAATATTTTTCTCAAAATCATTCACATTGAATTCTCCTTCGTCCCTCCAAATCTATTACTTCTGACTTACGTTATACTGTACTTTTAAGCACAATCCACATGAATTACCCCTTGTGATATATATGGAAAAAGAGACCATAAAGAAGATGTGATTGATTTTATTTATTTTTGGCCTTGAGATGCTATTAAAAGTAAGTATAAGTTAGAAAAACATTCACCATGCTATATCCTTTAAATATACTAGTAATGCACCACGTGCGTTACATGTGAATAATTTTTGTACATAAAATATTTTAAAAAATATTATGTCTATGTGATTTATTCGGTTTCGAAGGGGTGTTTGAGAGAGAGAAGGGGAGGTAGAGAGGGAAGATAAACGATTTTCAAACTGGAAAGTGATAAACATAAGCTAAAAGGTTTTTCAACTGGTTTCTATGGTGGTAGGAGAATTTTTGTCCTGTTTTCTCAGAGAGAGAACTTGTTCAAAAACATGGTTAAACAAAGAGAAAATTAAAAGATATAAATGATATTGTTGTCTATTTAATTTCCGACAAACAATCATTCAGTGGAGGATAGAAAAATGTGGAAAAGTATATTACTATGTTATAAATGATGTTATAAATCATAGTGGAATAATCATAACCCTCTATCTACCTAAGTTTCTTAATATGTTTAATATCAATGTACATATTATACTTATTTTTTTATTTGATCTGTACATATAATTGTGATTTATAATTATCTTATTCTATAGTTCTTCATTGAAATTTATGATTTTTGATCCCTAAAATATTTAATTATTGTTTAAATAATCCCTAACCAGATAGTCCGCTAAGTTTCTTAAGGGAAGTAATCATGTGTCATTTCGTCAGACAATATCACATGATCACTTCTGTCAAAAACTTAATAGACTGTTTGTGTATGAATTATTTAAACATTAATTAAATGTTTTAGGGACAAAATTGACAAAATTGATACAATAAATACCAAACTGTAAAAATATGCATATTTTAAAGACGAAAAGTATTATTTACCCTAAATTATAATATATTACTCTATAATATATATTTTAAAAGAATATTAAAATTTTAAAATTCAAGTTTTACTTACACTATAATTTTTTTTATATAAACTCTTAATAAAACATGAAAATGTTACAGCGATTGAAAAATTATGTTGATTTAATATAAATTATTTTAAAAAATATGTAAAAGATTATTTTTTATCTTAAAAATAAAATAGAAAAAATTTTGGATAAAAAAATATATATATATGTAAGCATAATATTATTTTTATAATTGACATGAATTATATTATATTAATGAAGTTTTTGAAGATTTTTTTTGAATGTTTTATTGAAAATTATTGTGATGCATATATTTTTTAAAGGTAATGGAGCCAATTAAAAAGTTTCATATATATTGATATTTACACATAGCAAATAGAGAACTAAAAGAGAAGTCAGAGATAATTTACAGATTCAAACATCAATATATTATGGTAATTTAGATATTCAACTACAAAAGGATAGTGTGGTATTTAAAATTCTTTATAAGAGTAAAATAGTGAATCAAAAATTTCATGCTAAGGCAAAAGTTTCATTATTTATTAGTAGTATAGATGGAAAAAAAATGTGTGTATATATATATATATATATATGCATAATGTTATATTTATATTTGGAAAGAGTAATGAAATATTGAATAAGTTTTTGAACACTTTATTGAAAATTATAGTGATGCATATATTTTTTTTAAGGGTAACGTAGTTAATTAAATTTTTTCATAGATATTGATATTTATACAAAAATGATAGAGAATTAAAAGAGATATCAGAGGGTAATTTAAAAATTTAAATACATAAAGATGTAATTGTAATTTAGATATTTGACTATGACAAGATAGTATGGTATTTAGAATTTTTTATGAGAGTAAAATAATAAATCAAAAGTTTTTCACTTAAGGTACTTTTATTAATAGTATAGATATACAAATCTCAAGTGATTCGTGGTTAAAATAATAATTATATTAATTAGGATTTATAATATAGCTGACAGATGGGATGAATTGCTTAATTTTGTGAAATAAAAAATAAATAAAATAGTGGCTGAAATACAAGTTATCTTATATTTTAAAGGATGAGAATTTCTATTTTGTAAGTAAATAAAAGAATAAGGCTTAGAAGTCTTACACAAAACAAAATCCCAAGAGAATATTATTGCATTTATAATTAATTATTCAAAACAAAATGAGCCCCCCTCCAAAGTGGCCCCAAGTAGCCGCTTAAGCGGCTTTGCATTTGAGCCGGTCCTGCATACATGAGATCTTATAAAAAATTGGAGGAATTGTATTTTGTATCTTGAAATATTTAAAAATTCTTAATTTATATTTTTAAAGATAAAATTTTTCACATTATATACTTAATGTATCAAAAATATTATAATATGACCGTTTTGTTAACTTCCATTATTTTCTCCATAAAAAAACTACTCTATTAACACCACCAAAAAAATAATTGAATCAATCATTACAATAATTTTGAAACGTTAAGG